TGTGTGTGTGTGTGTGTGTGTGTGTGTGTGTGTGTGTGTGCGTGTGTGTGTGTGTGTGTGTGTGTGTGTGTGCTTCTGAGATCAAATTTGCTACAGTGAAAAACCCCCTGTTGTGAAAAATTTCTTGCTGCAAACATGATTTGAAGAGGAGTTTCACTGTATATTCTAATTCGGTCTCGGTGTGGCGCGGGATTGAATTGTGGGAAGCATTCACCTTTGCTTCCAAGTGGCCCCGCTGGCTCACTTTGGTAGAAGAATGAATAATTAACAGTTGCCTTCTGGTCGTGTTTTTCATCATTGTCCACCTCCAAAGGTGAACAGCACTGTGCTCAGCTCTCCATTGACTGGCTCCTTACAGAGTGCCAGCTGTTTCTTTCCAATCTGACTGACCAATAGATACAAAAACATCTAAACTCATTTTAGAAAATGGTATCCCAGCAGACAAAAAAATACTTTTGATTAAAATGTATGTTTAAAAAAAAAACAATCTTTGGGTCATTTAAAACACAATTTCTACAATCGGGGTGTTCTCTCGCCACCTCATTATTGGATTCAATTATGATTCAGAGTGCTGTGATTTGATTTATCGTTGCATCTTGAATCAACGTATTTACACGGTTATAATAGATTGAAGTAAAATATAATTTAAATTTTTGGACAAGACACACAGCCTCCCAAGAAATTCTGCTTTCGTATCGGCAGTCGATACAATATTCTCCCAAAAGTCTTGGGAATCATTCACATGATTTTTGCAAAAGAAAGATGAGCCTTTATGTTCTCTTTGGTCACAGTACATTTCATCTTGGAACTCTTTCATGGACACCATTTTCGTCCAGTCACTTCCTTATTGTTGAGTCATGAACACTGACCTCAACTGACATTTTTATAGATTGTCTTTTGCTACTTTTTGACCTCCTGTGCTTTTGGGGTCATTTTTGTAGTGGGAAGATTCACTCCTGTTCAGAGTTTTCTCCATTTGTGGATAATGGCGCTCGCCATCGTTCACTGGAATCGTGAAGCTTTAGAAATGGCTTTGTAACCCTTTGCAGAGTGATGGATGTCAATTGCTTTATTTCTCATCTCTTCTTGACTTTCGCTGTGTCGTGGCATTTTGTTGCAGCTTTGAGATCCTTTGGCTGACTTGTTCTTGCCAGACCGGTTCTATTGAAGTGGTTTCTTAATTGAACAGGTCTGAAGGTAATCCGATTTGGGTGAAAATAAATACAGTCAAACTTCGGTTTTCGAACGTCTCGGTTCTCGACCAATTCGTTTTTCGACCAAAAATTTCAATTTTTTTATGCCTCGGATGACGAACAAATTTCGGTTCTCGAACAAACTGAGCGCACTTGAATGCACCATTTGACTCCTCTCGCCTTCCTTACACGAGGAAGTGAAGCTTCCTCGGGTAGATGAGGAAGTGACGCTTCCTCGTGTTGCTTTCCATTGTGAGCAGACGTATTCAATAAACATTTTTATTTTAAAAAGAGCGTGGTTTCGGTTTTTGAACAATTCGGTTTTCGAACAGCCTTCTGGAACGGATTATGGACGAAAACCGAGGTTTGACTGTAATAATAATACATTTTATTTATAAGCGCCTTTCAAAACACTCAAGGACACTCAGCTTTCCCCAAAAAATATAATTAGCCACAGTTAATTCACGATTTAACGGAGGTGGGGCAAATGACCTTTTCATACAAGGCCTGATAGCTATGAATATGTTTTTTTCCTCTAATGAATAAAATAACCAGAGGTGGGCATTCCGGATGGTCCGTCAGTCCGTCACTAATAGATGTCTGTTTTGCTGAGAATTGACGACTGACGGGAAATTAAAAAAAAAAAAAAAGGACGGACTCAGCACTGACGGAAGTAGGTTTTCGTACGTCAGTGTCATCATCACTAATCGAGACCTCTCAGGCCGTCACTGACGGATGTTCATTTTGCTGAGACACCCTCGGCCTGTCTCATGTGGTTGTTTGCGAGGGTTTGTTTGAGAGGACTGCATTGACTAAATATGTGTGAGAGTGAGTGCTCCTTTTTTCAAGAGAATCTTTGCGGGGACTGAGATGGTCGGCTGGGATTTTCTAGGGAGGCGGAACCAGATGATGTCTGATACCCTCGCAGATGCTGGCTTATGAACGTTGCGTTCATAACAGTCCGGATGGTTGTGTTCCTCTTTGGCCCAGAGGACACAACGTCCACAATTTCCAAAACAATTTGAAATGTGTACTCTTCAGACCAAAGAACCCTTTTCCACTTTGTATCCGGCGGTATTTCTGGGTGTTGTTGATGAGCAGCTTTTACTTTGCATAGTAGAGTTTCAAGTTGCACTTAGGGATGTAGCGCCAAACTGTATTCACTGACCTTGTTTTTCTGAAGTGTTCCTGTCATGGTTGATATGCTGCTATGCTATCTATATGACAACATAATATTTTATTGTGTCAGACAAAAATTCCAAATCAAATACTGGTTTTGTGGAGAATAGGGTCTAGCACAGCCCAATGACTTCCACGCTTTTTTTTTCTTTCCGCCGACCTTACGACACACAATTTCTTAAACAAATCTTAGAATGTGTTCACTGATTCCATCTGCATCCGATGAATCTCAGAATCCATTATTTCTCTTACCCCCTGGTCTACGCTTGATTCACCTGGAATGCTCCGGTCCAAAATAATGGGCATGCAGATATACAGCAGATGATTTGGATGTTATAATGCTACAATTTGTCATGAAGGAATGTTTGTTGACGAGGATGTCTTACTACTTCAACTCACTGCTCTTGTTTCGGTGGCTGAGAACGTGTAATGTATTTGAATCAGACTGTCAGTAAAAGGATTCCATAAACGTTTACATGAAGATGAAGGTTTGAATTGAAGATGAATGCAACTTGAACATGCAGTGGTGTGAAAACAGTTTATTATTATGAGCTGCATCCCAAGACAAGTGGCAGACTGTATGTGGGATGAAAAAGGACAACAAAATTAAATTAAGTGGGAAACTGACAAGAAAAGTGAAAAATAGAAAGCCCCGAGGCTTGTAGTTAATATACAGCATGTGAGATATTGCTAATATTTAGAAGATCTACCACTGGGAAAAGCTATTGTGATGGACAGAATGATGGCTTGGAGCCTCAGGTGAAGCACGGAGTGGAGTCGCCGAACAGTGAGCAGGCTGAAAGAGCAAGGAATAGTGAGGGTGTGTGTCCGTTTGTGCGATTGCGTGTGTGTGTGTGTGTAAAGAGAGAGATTGAGTGTGCGAGCTAGAAAGACTGTGTGGAGAGAGAGAGAGAGAGGGAGAGAGAGAGAGAGAGAGAGAGAGAGAGACAGACAGAGAGAGAGAGTGAGAGAGAGGGAGGTAGGGAGGGAGGGAAGTGTAAGCCAGTCACAGCATCTCTCCTTACTGCACCAGGGCTGAGGGACTCTTCGTCCCATTGTTTCGCTTGCTGCAGAATTAGCACAGTTCCATCTGCGTAGTCATCATTTTTTCAGTTGCTTTGTACATTCTGCATTTAGGACCATTGTTGTCTTTGTGCCTGCTACAAAGGATTTACATTTGAGGGAAATTGCTCATCCTGATCCTGAATTACAAGGAATATTTTGCAGAGGACAATACCGAAAACTGGGACTGACTTTTCTTTTCAATCTTTTTTTTTTTTTTTTTTTTTTTTTTAATGCTGCTAGAGCGGATTTCCCTTTTGTTGCGCAGCAATTTTTTTTTTCTTGAGAGCGACAGACATACCGAGAGAAGAGTTAAAGGCAAGGCTGGACAGAGCCCCAACCCTCCACAACAGAATGCTTTGCATTAAAAGGCAAAGGCAAGTTACAAAATCTGTGGTCACAAGAAGCACTGGGGGGAAAAAAATGGGCTAATTCCCCCATTTGACGTGCTTTTGAATACCAACACAAGAATGCAAGAGAAGAGTTGAAAGAGATGAAAAAAGTGGTCGGTGGACTGTCCCTAGTCTCTCGCTGTGTGCCGCTGGATTGCTGAGGAGTCCAAGTGAGTGGAGCGCTGAGTTATTCAGCTGGCCTCTCGTAGCTCCTGGAGAGTCCTTTCACCTGCCCGCACGGGAGTCTGACATTTCATGTCTTCAACAGACCCTATGACCTTTTTATGCACCTGTTGTCCTCAAAATCCAGAGCTTGGAGAGGAAATTTTGCACTCTTGGATTCATGCATCGAGGAAAATGTTTGCAGCACTACTCGTGTGAAAAGACATTGTACAGTACTCTGGACTTGCTTTTTCTTTTTGTTATTCCTTTTTTTAAAAAAATGATTGCTCATGGTTGCCTTGATACGCTCAACAGCCCGTTTGTGCTGAGAGAATTGTGACATTATCTCCTGTGGAGATCCCAATGTTTTTTTAGCCTCTGTCTGTGTTTTGACTCTCACAATGGTTAGGCATACATGAGCTCCAGACAGTGACAAGAGGACCACCAAAATAAGGGAAGCCTGCTGTTGAATTACAAAACACAGCATCCCCAGAATACAGTGCAACTTGTCCGTTTACTGAAGATGTGATCGACACACAATTGTTACTTTTCTAGCTCCTAGATTCCCAAGAGAGGATTTCCTTTCTGAAAGAAATTCCTGTGTCAATTGTGAATGCAACTCCACTCAGCAAATGTGATCTCATCACTTTTGATGAAACGGGGAGCCAAATTAAACCAATATGTTGCTTACCTATTTAATTTCTACCGGGAATCTGTTTATAACGGCAAACATTTTGTTTGACACATTAAGCTCTTCATTCATAAGGTTTCTTCCCTCGCAACCTCTTTCATCTCCATCTTTGTGAAAACAGTTTATGCCTTCGGCCTCTTGGTGTTAGCTCTTTTAAAATGGGCGATAAAGGCCCCATGCTGGCAAGCAAAGCAGCATGAATCTCACCTTTACGACAGATGCTCACTTCAGCTATAATTCTACACTGCTTTTTTTCCCCCCTCGCTACTCTTAAATGCAACCTTGCTTTTTCATGAACCATGCTGTGCCGGTGGAAAAGCAGGACCTCGTCCTATCCCTCCAAAAGCCCCAAGGATTTTGCTCCTGTCGGTGTTCCCTTGATTGAGACTCATCAATGTGAGAGTCGGGTGAAAGAGAGCAAGGGTAGCGTATTAAGCTCGATTAAGTGAAGGTGGCTACAGGGACGTGGAACAGTGGGAGAGGAGTAGGCAATTTGCAGTTTCATGCTATTGCCTTGTGGAAGTTGCACCATAAAGCCGTCTGACTCGGGTCCAACTCGGAACAATGAATCTGTCTGACATGCCGACTGACCCGATGCTCACACCAAATAGCAGCAGCGGTGGAGAGGTATTTTCCGGCAGCGCTTCGAACCACTCGTGTCCCTTAGGCTGGGGCTTAAAAGAAGGTTTGGAGGCTTGCATCCTGGAGACCGCTGTCGTCGTCCTCCTGACAGTGCTCATCATTGTCGGCAACTTGACGGTGATCTTCGTATTCCACTGTGCACCGCTGCTCCATCACTACAACACCAGCTACTTTATCCAGACCATGGCCTACGCAGACCTTCTGGTTGGTCTCAGCTGCCTGGTGCCCACTCTGTCTCTGCTCCACTACCCTACAAGCGTCCAGGAGCCGATCACCTGTCAGGTCTTCAGCTACGTCATCTCCGTTCTCAAAAGTGTTTCAATGGCTTGTTTGGCCTGTATCAGTGTGGACCGCTATCTGGCTATCACGAAACCGCTGTCATACAACCAGCTGGTGACACCATGCCGTCTGCGGGCCTGCATCACCCTCATATGGGTTTACTCCAGCCTGGTCTTCTTGCCCTCTTTCTTTGGCTGGGGCAAGCCAGGCTATCACGGGGACATTTTTGAGTGGTGTGCACAGTCTTGGCCTACCTCAGCCCTCTTTACAGGTTTTGTGGTCTGCCTGCTGTATGCACCTGCTGCACTTGTGGTCTGCTTTACCTACTACCACATATTTCGCATTTGCCAGCAGCACAACAGGGAGATCAGTGAACGCCGGGCACGATTTCCAAGCCAAGAGATGGAAACTGTTGATGGGGACAGAGATGGACATCAAGGAGGACATGGACCAGATCGGCGCTACGCGATGGTGCTCTTCCGCATCACAAGCGTGTTCTATATGCTCTGGCTACCCTACATCATATACTTTGTTTTGGAAAGCTCCCATGTCCTGGACAGCCCAGCCCTTTCCTTCATTACCACTTGGCTAGCAATTAGCAACAGTTTTTGCAACTGCGTCATCTACAGCTTGTCCAATAGCGTGTTCCGCTTGGGCATGCGCAGGCTCTCGCAGACAATTTGCTCCTTCAGTCACTGTGCTGCTGATGACAGGGACTTTGGGAAACCTAAACCACGGAAAAGGGCAAACTCCTGCTCCATCTGAATGTGGGATTTTGTTCAATACAAGGACGCTCTGTGGACATTGACCACTACATACAGTGCATCTTTATTAAATAGAAATAGTAAAAACAAAACAGAAAAATTTAGGTTCTTACTTTTGGGCCATGATCCCATTTAAGATTAGCAAGTGTGATTTATTTGCATAAACAAATCATTTTTAAGCAGTCACATTGAGAATGCTTTCACTCTATACCACACAACACAGCTGTTTGACATTGAGCCTGTCCATGTCACTGTTATGTTTCTCTGCAAATGTCAAGATGTAATATATTTGGAAATACACCAAAATGACATTTTGTTGAGGAAGTCGGGCGAGCAAAATATATTTCCAAAACGTCAACTCCCAAAATTGTTTGGACTTTGTCGATGGCTTTTGATTTGTTGACAGCCGTAATGCTTTCTTTAGGTTTTAGAAAGTGAGCAAGTCTTGTCAGCTAACTGGAATGTGAAACTGTCGACTTCGTATGGGCAATAAAGCAGTTGGTGATTTTGAAACAGTAGTGTTGACCTGTACAGTCAGGTACAGCTGAAATTTGTAATTTTCAAATTTTGTGGAGGCAAAAAAATCTGAAAATTACATTTCATCATGTTTTTGTTTAGATATGTTGCTATTACTAAAGTATTTTACACAGCAAATTAAATGCTGAAATTTACACTGATCTTATGCAGAGCTGCTTTCAAGTCTTACATGACAGCTGCCACAGCACTGAATCCACATACTCACCAATTACAGATCATTTTCAGATCGACAAAGACGAAAACAAATTTTTATTTGGCGGCAGCACCTGCAGGATATTTTGTCGCATGGAAATGCATCTGAATATGCAATAGATATTCTGAAATACCTTCACAATACGCAATCCCAACAAGGTGATTAGATAAGCACCTCAGTCCTTATATATACGGTATACACACATCTATATATCTATATCTATACATCTACATATGTTGAGACGTAGATATATAGATATATAGTTATGATTCTCACAAGTGCATTCTACAACAAAGTGTTCAATATATTCTTATTATTGACTTTAGGTCCGTGACTGAAGATGGGCATTCAACTAAAATTTCAATTGATGAGGCAAATGACTGTCGAGTTTTGTAATATTTTTAATATCTTTTGTTTTTTTCCCTTGAAAAAAAATATTCCTAAGCAATATTTCTCTTGGCACTAAAACATCGAAATCCATCCGTTGAACGCTTGTCATTTATTAGGGTTGCTGGTGAGCTGGAACCTTTCCCTTTCGGTGAAAGGCAGGGGGGCACTCTTGAGCGATCACTAGTGACCTCATTGCAGAAACACTAAAATGTCTGTCGGAAAAAAACAAAATAGTGAATGCATACTGTGGACGGAATGGTAACTGATTCTGAGAGCCCACCTGAAACATAATTGTTTTCGAAAGCACAAATAAGCTGTCATAAAATGGACTCCAGCCACATGATCATTGTTGAGAAATATGACAACATTGTCAACATTTGAGCACAGTGACAATTCCTCCCATCGTGCAGATGCTCTACATGTGCATGTTTCGGACAAATACATTGTACCTTATCTCAATATTGTCTACATTGAAATGGTCCAGCGCCAAACTTAACTCTCCTGCCCATCTTTTAGTTCTGGTTGCTGAAATTCATTCTTTCCCGTATTGTAACTTTTATGTAAGTTCAGCATATAGTTTCCACAGTCCCTAGCTTCTAAATCTTTTTTTTTTGTTTGTTTGTTTTTAACACTACATCCCTCTGTCCTCTCTGTCATGCAGGTATTGCGAAAATCTTCTCTACTCAAGTAGATTTCGGTGCGACTCACTCTTCATGAAGTCCGTAATGTAAGATTTGAGTAGCCCGGTCATGGAACATAATTCACTCAAAATTAGAATACTTTGTCGACTACAATCAAACAACATCAACCTCCTTTTGTTTAGCAGGGCATCATAAATTTGTTTGGTAAAACATGTCGCTATTATTGTGGCTTTGCTCAGTTTCCCCCAAAACTTTCCCAAGTCTACCCCTCTCGCACTTGTCATTTTGTATTTGACGAGACCGAAAGGGTATCCCAATTCTCGAAAATGTTTATTCTTCGAAAATTTATTTCCAAAGCCATGACAATACTGTTAACTTCAGACTGACGGATTTATACAGCATATATCTGATTTTACTGATTAGTTCGCTATTAATAGCATAGCATAGTTCGCAAAATCTGAAATCATCTGAAAATATGTGGCTTGCTAGCTCCAGACTCTAAATTTACGCGGGCTAAACAATAGTGCAAACCCTACTTAGCCGAGGAGTTTCAAGTGCTGTCGTTCCTTTATCTCGGTTGGTCTTGTGCCTTCAAGTGGGAACGTGTTCAACTGTCTGATGTCAGAATTGTATCTTTCAAATGATAACCTTTGTCTAGATTTTGTGGCATTGGCAACATGGCATAGATAAGAAATGTCAGTTGATAAACACAGAATAGTCGCGTTCAATGCTGTCTGCTCTGTTCATTCGATACGTTGTGCTCTTTCTCCGGTGGTAGTGCTATGCCATAGATATCCAATGTATGGGGCCTGAATTTTTTGCATACAGTTATGGGAACGACACAGCAACTACAGTGCTAAACCTTTATGACTTAGTTGTTGCCAAACATGGTTAAATTTGAAATGTGATTGTCCGAGTGGATTTACAGTATTTGGTCAGAAGTTTCACAAATTATTCTTGTTTTGTTGTGAGTTTTAGAGGGTGACGTGAATTTGTTTTGAATGTGTTTTAGGCTGATAGTTTGAAATATTCAGGGGAGTTATGGGAACGACACAGCAACTACAGTGCTAAACCTTTATGACTTAGTTGTTGCCAAACATGGTTAAATTTGAAATGTGATTGTCCGAGTGGATTTACAGTATTTGGTCAGAAGTTTCACAAATTATTCTTGTTTTGTTGTGAGTTTTAGAGGGTGACGTGAATTTGTTTTGAATGTGTTTTAGGCTGATAGTTTGAAATATTCAGGGGCCATTGAATTCATGGGATAAAAAAAAAATAAAAAAATTCAAGGCTCAATGGAAATCAAAACAGTTTCAAGTGCAGTAAAATTTGGGATTTGATGATGTTCAATATTTATTTCATGAGAATACTGTAGGCCTGTGTATAAACCTTTACATGTAAATTACTGTACTGTAAAGTGTGGGTGTTTCAAACTTGTTGTACAGCACAAAAAAAACAAAAAGCTGTACCTATGGTGTTAAATGAGTAGGCTTCTAATGTTTTGACTGTAGGAAGCAGTGTGATGTTAGCACAGTATCTATTTTTTTATTTTGGAAATTTTGCTAAAGGCCTTGGTTTTGCTGTTGCTGCCAACCAAATAAAGGTGACGATAACAGTAACTTCACATGTGATTATTATCTGCTGAGCTCACAAAAAAATCAAGACTGCAGTGTAGGGCTGCACAATATATCACAAAAATGTCATTGCAATAATTGCCTGTGTAATATGCGCATCACAAAGACGTGCAATACGTTTCATATGAAACTGTGGGGTTTTAAAAACAGATTTTAAAGCATCGTGTTGATTAACTAAGTTAGTCATCTTTTTGTGAATCTACGGTATGTCGGTGTAGTGCCACGTCAAAGCAAAAAGATAAGCGGAGATGCAGATTTGACATTGATCAGCTTTGGCAGTGTTACCAATCTTTTATTAAGGCACTTGAGAATGGGTTTTAAATTGTGAAAAAAAATATCATGCATTCAACTCAACTCAACTGTATTTATAGAGCACTTTCAAACAACCATCGCTGCATACAAAGTGCTGTACATGGAGCAACTAACATATATACACCAATAAAGCAATAATCAGTAAAAAAGATGGTAGTAGGCACCAAATAGTAAAACTAATATCAAATCTGGGTCATGCTGAGTCAAATGCCAAAGAATACAAGGGAGTTTTGAGGCAGGTTTAAAAGATGGGTAGCGAGGGGGGCTTGCCGAATGTTCAGTGGGAGGTCATTCCAGAGAGAGGCACCAGAGGGAGAGAGGCTGAGCCTCCGTTTAGTTCTTGGTACTTCTAATTATGTCTGGGGAACCAAACCCAAGATGTAAAATCTTTCAGCTCTATTCTAAATGTGCATATCTTTTTGCTAGCTGCTGTTTGTAGAAATCTACAAAGAATTTTGTCAGAAAATATGTTTAAAACATTACACCTGCATTTGTGTTCTGGCTTATTGGAGCTGCCATTTTTAGGTCTTTTCACTCTTGCCATAGTGTGACTTTGCAGAAAGTGCAAATTTGTTGCTGCATTTTGCCCAGAGCTCAAAGGCGCCAGTTTGGAAAAACAAAACATAACAAAACAATTGACGCAAGGTAGAGGGTTTTATTTTTATTTTTTTGTTAATAATTTAAATTGATGCCTCAAGATGAGTGGTTATTAACCTGGGTTTGATCGAACCCAGGGGTTTGGTGAGTCGGTCTCAGGGGTTCGACAGAGCCTCTGCCATGGAGGGTAAGACACACACGACATCTTAATTAGTTATGACACGCCCGCTTGGCCATCACTGGCTGCAGATGATTACATTACATTGCTTGTCCAATCAGTGCTGCAGGAAATTTAGTTCGCTTAGTAGTCAAGGTGTGATTGTCGTGATAGTACATCCTACAATTAAAAAAAAAGGATACTTATCTCTTGAAATTGTATTTACTTTTTTCTGTTTTTAATAAATGCGTTTTTTTTTTTTATCTTGAATTTGTAAAAAAAAAATATTTATTTATTTTTCACTCATGAAGGGTTCGCTGAATGTGCATATTAACTGGTTGGGTTCGGTACCTCTAAAAAGGTTAAGAACCACTGCTCTAGATGCTGTCCTGGGCGGTTGCCCATATCGCTCGTATGAAAAACATCTACTGAGTAGAATATGGCAATGTTGAGCCGTCCATGTCAATCTAGTAAACATCCTGTCTCTTAATCTTGAGGCAACAATTATGCCACATGCACGGTTCGGCTGACTGAGGGAAGAGACACAGTTTTGCAACACTTCCCACACAGTCCAGAGAGTTCATAGATTTGTTGTCAAGCTATTTTCAACACTTTAATTCTGCTTAAAAATAACATTTGACCTATTTAGTCTAAAATGTTCAATTTTAGAACTGCAACTACCGATTTTTTTTCTCCAAAATAATCAATTCATTTGTTGATTTTTTTCCAATTACCGGTAATTGATTTATCAGATTTGAAAAAAACATTTGTTAAATTTCTGTCCCTCTACCAGTCAAAAGTTCTTCAAATAGACAACGCAGAAAATGCACAAACAAATTATCCATCCATCCATTTTCCGAACCGCTTTATCCTCATAGGGTCGCGGGGGTGCTGGAGCCTATCCCAGCTGTCTTCGGGCAGGAGGTGGGGGACACTCTGAACTGGTTGTCAGCCAATCGCAGGGCACACAGAGACAAACAACCATCCGCACTCATACCTAGGGACAATTTGGAGTGTTCAATCAGGCTGCCATGCATGTTTTTGGAATGTGGGAAGAAACCGGAGTACCCGGAGGAAAAACCCACGCAAGCCCGGGGAGAACATGCAAACTCCACACAGGGAGGC